CTTATGTACTTTGAATGTTTGACCTATGCTGATGGTACATTTACCCGGGTGTTTGAGAGGACTAATAATCAGGGTCTCATGAATGTTATATTTAAAGTAGCCGCTGTGGCTCAGGCTATTGAATATTTTATGATCAAGGTGATACTGCTGATCAATGGAAAGGATATTATTTTTGCAATTCGTTCAATGGGTAAGTCAATAAAAAAAATTATGGGCTCGATATTTAAACACAATATTTATTATACTAGATTATTGTTATTTTGTTAATTAATTAATAGAGTATAACTTTTTCAAACAAATATAAATTTCCCCTTGTTAACCCTACAGGTTATATTAAATCTACAAAACAAATGCAACTAATTTACTTATTCATTGTACTTATGTGCCTGGGTACATCCGTGGCTAATATCTTAAACTTCACCGAGCTTAATCAGACAATTACGGAGTTTTATAACCAAAATAGATTGCGAGTTATACTTTATGGATTCACTGGTATCGTACAGGGTATGGTTAAATGCTCTATATTAACCATGCTTATATATTCGGCATTGGTAATTCACCAACATTTAATTGGTATGTGTAATTAAAAATATTAAATACGTAATCAATTTCCATATATTTTCTTATTCATAATTGGTTAATTTAATTTATTATTTATAAAACTTATATTATTTTTAAGGCATACACGATAACCTGGCTTTAAATCATGCAAAACATGCGACACATTATAGTCAGACTATAATGGATTTGACGGCAGCCGTGGACTCAATGAACCGATCGATGGGTCGCATAATGTTCGCCAAAATAGCGGCCAATACGGTGATGATGTCCGCCTGTCTGTGCACTTTGGCTGTGGTAGAGCTCGGCCTACAAAACATCATTACAGTCATAATGTACGCCATTCTATCATTACTGGACATCTGGACGGCCTGTCATTCATCACAGATTATAATCAACGCAATGACAGACCTCAGTAAACGGGTCGAGAGGTGTATGTCTATTGGGGACAACCAGACTCAGAATACCGGTGCTGACAATAAACAAGACAGCCGTTAGTTACAGACAATTGTGTCGATGAGAAAGTATATGCGGTTTAATGTGTGCGAGTTGTTTGACTTGAAGGATGTAACTGTGCTGGCTATTATTGGCAATGTTGCTAATCATGCAATAATTCTAATACAAACTCAGGGTGATATCAAGGTAGTGAATTAATTTTGAATGTAATGAACCATAATAGTCCAAGGTATTATTTTAATAATAATGCGTTCTGTAATTTATTCATTTCATTAATTTAATGCTAAAAATATTACAGTTTTTATTATTTATAAAATTGACTTAATACTTTTGTTAATTAATATATTTTACGTAATGTTTATTGACGTCATATATCATTGAATAAAACCAAAGCTCAAGTATTTTGTTGACAAAAATATAACGTAGATACTATATTAATTATAAATATGTTTAATGTACGGTTGATATAAAATACACTTTTTGCATTTATGATATTATAATGTTATACAAAAAACACAAAATTTAAAACTTAATTAAGAGTATATTACAATCTGTTATAATAATTATTTGAAGCGTTTAATAGATAATATATGATCTGATCAATGATATTTATAACAATTTGATATAAACGAACATAACTTATAAAATTATTTTCAACATGAATTTGTTTAGTAAGTAATTATAAAATTAAAAATATATATTTACCAACTTAATTATTAATACCTTAATTAATTACATAGTAAATATAATAATAATTTCAACGTTAACATTGATAATCCACTGTCAGTGTCCAAGTGACACATCGGTGGTTTCACCATGCACATGCAACCAGCTTGGTACGATTACTTGTACCGGCTCGGATAAAATGGACCTGGATAATGTGTTCGAAAAAATAAGCGCTGCCCTCGATCATGAAGTACCGAAAAAATCACGGTGGTTTCACCATGCACATGCAACCAGCTTGGTACGATTACTTGTACCGGCTCGGATAAAATGGACCTGGATAATGTGTTCGAAAAGATAAGCGCTGCCCTCGATCATGAAGTACCGAAAAAATCCAAACATTTTCCAAAACTAAACATCTCAAACAAAAATGTTACCCAGCTCAATGCAAACACTTTTAAGGTATGTAAATGACAAATTGAATTATAAAAAATAGTTTTAAAATTGCTCATTATATTATTTTTAACTTGATACAATTTTCAGGATATAACTTTTGAAGTTATTGAAATTATTGCAACCAATATTAAACAAATTCATCCTGATGCTTTCAATAACATGCTAAATATTACTATGGATATCGATATTACAATGAATGTGTATTTACCTGATGATATTATATTTCAAACAATCAACAAGTTTAATAATTTAACCAAGTTCATTGTGAAAGATAATAGTGGTACTAGGTTATTGCAGCATGATAGTTTCAGTGGACATCATCAAGGTTTAAAAGAATTGTTTATTACCGAATCAATAAAGGAACTACCTAGTTTTGTATTCAGAAATTTATCTGGGTTACAGAGTTTAATATTAGCTGGAAATGATATCCAGTTCATACAAAATAACGCATTTGTCATTGATACAAAGTCCCAGGATAGATTGTTTATTAACTTATATGGTAATCGACATTTAAATGAGACTGCATTTGGTGATGATGCCCTAACAGGTATAAAAAGACCTGCTACTATTCAACTTCAAAACAATTTTGTGTATTTACCACAAGTACCTTTTATGAAGTTTTTTAACGATCACCCTGATAACAAGCTGGAAATATGGACCGAATCGAAAAATAAATTTGACTGTCAAAATTGTAAATCATATTGGATTAAGCAATATAAATTATATTCACGCATTGGCAAGTTGGTATGCTCAAACGGATTGTCCCTAGGTGATGCTGATAATTTCAAAAACTGCCCGTGATAGTTTATAGATAATACAAATGCATAAATATTGTAATAGCAAAATCATAAAATAAATGACAATTATTAGAAACTATTCATTAAAAGTGTCAAAATATAAATATAAGTAATTTTAATTTACTATTTATTTTATGAGTTAGTTTTATAAATTTTATAGCGGGTTAATATCATAAAAATCATATTGGATTAAGCAATATAAATTATATTCACGCATTGGCAAGTTGGTATGCTCAAACGGATTGTCCCTAGGTGATGCTGATAATTTCAAAAACTGCCCGTGATAGTTTATAGATAATACAAAAGCATAAAATAAATGACAATTATTAGAAACTATTCATTAAAAGTGTCAAAATATAAATATAAGTAATTTTAATTTACTATTTATTTTATGAGTTAGTTTTATAAATTTTATAGCGGGTTAATATCATAAAAGTTTTAAATAGTTTAATTTGACAATTATTTTATTATAATTTATAACAATATTACAAATTGTTTATTACTATTAATTGATAATTTGAATATTTTATTAATATACTTCATTAAAAATACAAATTAAAACATGTTACTATTTTAAATATGTTTTATATTAAACGTTTTATAGTGTATTAATGTGTACTCAAATATGGTGTCTATTTATAAAATATGTGATCAAATATTTTCTATTATTTATTTTGCTAGATCAGATAAAAATATGAAACTTTATTAAAAGTATTATTATTTTACACAAACGTGATAATAAATTATATTAAACAAGTGGTTGTGTTGTGAACATAGTATGTATGGTTAACCCCACATAAACTCCCGGTGCTGCGATCATACAATTAGGACTTCGTTTAGTTTACACGAGATATTGATTATGAAATAATTTTTTCATTTTTATGTTATGATTTTAATGCGATTTTCACATACAATCGTCTAATTGACGTCTATACAGTACTGCTCGGATAATATGTAACGACTTTGAATATAATTTTTGAAAATACTATTGCATTTAAAACATTGAAAACACCACCAAACTGTAGCTTATTTATTAGAGATTCATTTGATGTGTTATTTGATAGTAAAATAAACAAATTACAAATATAAATATCTCATTTTCAAACTGACCACTATTTTATCTTGTCCAGACCGAAATTGATTTATTTTTATTTAAAAAATTAATTTTACAATTATTATAAAGAAAATTTGATATCAATGTGAATTATTAGTATCCATACAATGTGTTAAACAGGTCGCACTTAGATATTTATAGTTTAATTGATTAAAAATTAGTATTTAAAGTTATGACAGTGTTGTTTTTGTCAAAAACACAAACCAATAATAATAATGCATGGAGTTTTCCATAGATGGAAAACGTAAAATAGTGGTCACTGTTTGAAAAAGAGATATTTATATTTGTAATTTGTTTTTTACAGTCAAATAACATATCAAATGAATCTCTAATAAATAAGCTACAGTTTGGTGGTGTTTTCAATGTTTTAAATGCAATAGGGTTTTCAAAAGTTATATTCAAAGTCGTTACATATTAGCTGATCATTACTGTATGACTGATATCGTAATATAATAGCAACACGATTACCAAGGTAGTAATTATGATACACATCAGTATATGTTCTTTTTTTAAAATTTAAAATTGATCTTTATTAATTAAATTAAATTCGCACCCTTGTCTTGACAACCTTATACAATTTTATATTTACTAATATTACGTTATTATGCAAAGTTTAAAATATTGTTTAGATTTATGGTATTTGCCATGACAACTTTGTGTTATGAACTTAAAACTATTAATCTTACATCAATATGTTGATCTAGGACAAATTGCCTTTCAATAATATTATGACATTCATATAATAATTAATCATGTTAGGAATAGAATTTATATAATTTTTAATAAAATTGGATTTTGAAAACAAAATTTTAATAAAAATCACGAATCGGTGTCTCAACGCATGTATGTCTTGAGTGCCGACTCTATTGACGACGACTTCCATGTCTTCAGACGAATCGATGACTCCGAAGAAGCGGACAATCAATTGGTTCTCAATATTATGAGTCAATGAATACCTGTTCCCATACGACAGCCCATTGGGGACACAGGCGCTACTCATAATGTACGGCCAGTTAGGCTAGGTTTAGTGGAGGCGCGCTCATGTCTACCAGTGCTTCCCAACAACTAGAGAGAGAGAGAGAGAGAGAGAGAGAGAGAGAGAGAGAGAGATAGCAAAAAATAATTATTTGATTATTACTTATAAATAATGATAATATATTATTAAATTTGAATACATAATGCAATTGTCGCCTTCAGGTCCAGGGGGTGGTCAGGTGTTGTCGTCCAGGTGCGGCGGCCTACAATATGTTGAAGTGGTCGAGTGTGATGACCAGTAGCGGCGGTAGCAATATTAGGTGAGGCCAGGTGTGGAGTCCGGGACCGACGGGTGACAATATAAAGAGTTGAGATGAGTGGTCCGGAGCGGCGGCTGTTGAGGTCGGATGTGTGGTTCAAACACACAATTCACGTAAAATACTTGAGTTTTATTAGAGTTAGAAAAGCACACAAAATACAAAAACAAGTGTTGTTTGAGAGACAATTCTAGACTCAAAGGTTTACAATAAGTTTAACATTATATCGATAGTAGAGCTTCAGAGGGAGTATAGGCACAGAAGCAAAGAGTTGGCTACAGTTTCTAAGAATCCAAAGTTCTAGAAGTCGAGGAATGTATGGGAACGGGATTGCTAAATAACCTAGCTAATACTTAAAAATTTCTTTAATATTTTATCGATTATTTTATAATCAAGGTTATTATTTCAAAACCATTTAACATGTCAATAGTTGTCTGAGCTGGAAATGAATATATTTATAAATAGGTAATTATAAATTATAAATTTTTATAAATTAATTAAGAGTTAGTTCTCATTATTACATGAATTTGTTCAACTAATGATAAACTATCCTGGTTCCTGTTATTTTAATAAGTTATTTGTATACTGTATTTCCACCAGCGTTTTTAATAAATATAATCACGGTTTATAATTTGTAAACTTTACTAGTACATTTTAATTAATTGGTTAAAATTATCAAAATAGATATTTGTATTTAATTAACAGTATAATTATAAATATATCATTAATGAAATAAACTTTGTAATAAATTTTAATCATAAATGCATAAATCATTATAATTTTAATTTTGACTTACTTAAATAACATTGCGCGTGATAAATTATATTGAATTTACATTAATAAACGACAAATGTATTATAACTCATATATATGCTTGGTAATATTTTATTAAAGTTGATTACTTAGTTTGATAAGCACCTCGGCCCGTTTTTGGTGTGTTTGCGTCAATCCTATTACGTAATTCAATAGGTTATAATCAGGCGGAAACATCCCTGTGGCTATTCTCAGTGCCTCCTGATCTTGCTTTAGTTTGACAACCAAATCATCTAGTTCATCAGCTGACACATTGTCACCTTTGTTCCTGAGCCTTTCAATGGCAGCTGGTGCCTGAGCATAGATTTCAGGGATGGTTAAGGCACTGATCGCTATATTGTAGAAAAATGTATAAAATATTATTTTTAAATTCATATAATACTTACAGTAGAATATAGTAAAAATAATTAATATAGCACAGATTTTCATTTTTAAGTATAATAGATGATTTTTTTGGTTTAACAAATAATTCAAATTATATGAATATAAGATTTTAAAGACTTATTTTGTTAATGTATTCATTCAATCAATCATTAATCATTTTTATAAATGTTCAATTATATTTATACCTTATGATATGATCAAACATGATATCATATTTAATCTTTATACCTCAACAAATTAAACTGTTTTTCAAATATATTTACTCTTACCATACTCAATTTTGATAAAGGTTGTTTACAACAATACATATTAAATCCTTTAGTATTAAATACAATATTTATAGTGTGCTATTTTTACTATCATATATAAGTTTATTTG